GAACAAGTTTCTCTGCATCATCTCGATGCATGAGGTTTCTAATTTTCACAATATTGCGAAGGTGAAAATAGGCAGTCCTCGTAGTTTGCTTTATGTGTGCGTTGAAAGACAGGTCTTGATCAAAACCACCTCACGGTGGTGCTGGAGGCCAAGGCAATGCCATCCAAGGCAACTATGTCTGCAGACAATGTGTCTCGGAGGAGTTTGGGTCCAAGTACTACAACCTCAGTTTTTTCAGAGTTCAACATCAAGAAATTATAAGACATCCAGGTCTTCACATCCTTAATGCACATTTGAAGCCTAGCTAACTGGTTGGTTTCATCAGGTCTGATAGAAAGGTATAACTGAGTGTCATCAGCATAACAATGAAAGTTTATACTGTGGATATTACCTAGCCGAATCATATACAAGGTGAATAATATAGGTCCAAGGACTGAACCTTGTGGAACTCCATGGGTAACTCTGCTGTGCAGAGAAGACTTATTGTTTACATGTACAAACTGGGTGCGATCTGATGAGTAGGATTTAAACCAGCTTAAAGCAGTTCCTTTAATATCCGTGTGGATAAAGCTTCATGCTGACTCTTGGTGATAGTCATTTTCAACCTCTCTCTCAATCCCATACAACTCCAAATCCTCATCCTACAATGCCCACCCTGTCTCACATTGCATTTTTAAATAAACTGGCATTAACTAGCAGAACACAAGAGTGTACACACTCTTCAAAAGTAAGGATTTATACAGAACTAGGCTGTGTGATGATTACAGCTTAAATGCCCAAGATTTATTTTTAATGTTTTCCATATTTAGGACCAGGCAAATTTAAATTTAAAAAATTTAAATTGGCATACTGCAGGTTTGAAAACTGTGAAAGTTATATGAGTCAATGCATAATCATTATGGCGGTATCTCCATCCATAGAGAGCGACTAGGGAGTGAAGTAAGCATCCGACCGACCATAGAGATGTACATCACTGCAGCATCTGCCTTTACCCTCCTTAACACAACTCTGGACAAGGTCGCTTCAAACGTTGTTACCCCTCCCCCACCCTGACACGTTACATACAAATATCAGATACAGCATATGGATGAAAGACTCCAGCGCTGCTGCTATTAATTTTCTGCTCACAGTCCCTTAGCACATAGTTAAGAAAAGTAAATCCAGGACACCAGCACTGGTAGGAGATATTCCTGAGTGTGTAGGACAGCAATGAGAGGATGCCTTTACAACATCACACGTTCACATACATGTAGATCTTCCCCTTGAGCAGAAAGGTCAAGTTGATCACCAGCTATTATTTTCTGTCTAACATAACAAGCCGTACCACCGCTGTACAACTGGACATGGGTGCTCCCCACATAACCCTTGGCTATAAATAGCAAGCCAATGACAGGAACTGCCTGGATAATGAGTTGAACAGAGGATGAGAGCAGACATTCACAGTCCAGGCTCTACAAGGACATGCTAAGGATGAGGCCAGGCAAGAGAAACACAAAGTCATGAAATCAATAATAGACTCAAACACACAGACTGGAAACTTGGAAATCCTATTAGCTGTTGTCAGATGTGTGTGTGTGTCATTTCCCTGGCTACAAACACACACTAGACATCAAAGACGCAGAAAAGACAGGAGCCTCTTCATCAGTAAATGTCAGTGGTTAAAAAAACTTGACATTGACACAACACCAGCCTCCCTTGGTGCTTTTTTGCGCCTAGCACAGCCTGGTCTGAACACAGCCCAGAAGCCAAAGACAGATTTCCGTCTGGATCCCCTTCTTGGATGGTTAACCATGAGAAAAACAAAGGCTGTAATTACCTACAAACAACATTCACATTGACTGCCTCATAAATGACTGGTGCACTGCTCATATTTGAAGTCTCCTTTCTCCTGGCATAATCAAAAGGAACAGAAGAAAGTGAAAGCTGTCATTTGCTGCCCATTTGGTTTCTCCCTAAGGACCCATGCAAGGCTGGCCTCTTCCATAAACACATGACTTCTACATAAGCTCTGCAATTAAGGTATTTAACAACTTTACTTTATTTTCATTAACGAGATGCCCAATTATGCTGCACAGCAAGTCACGAATAAAACAGCAAAGGTTTAGAATTCACGCTTCACTATTTTAGACGGTGATCTGTTGCTTCTGAAGCACTTTGGTCATGGAGTTTACAAGCAAATGTTACGTGGCAAGAGCACAGTTACACACAGGAGCTTAGTCAGGATACATTGCTATCGTGAAGCATTTAAGAAACTTTTAAAAGGCATTAACAACAGACTTTCACAAATAACAACACTAAACACAACAAGCTGCAGTTTGACATGGCATTGATCTAATGAGGAACAAATGGCTGGCTGGTCATGTGAGGAAAAACGCTTACAGTGATTACAAAGGCAACTAGCCATTGGCAGCAAAACATGAAATTTACATAAAAAAAACACAGGACAACCTAAGCAGTACTGCTGATTTGGTAAATTCATTTGCAACTTGATCTGCCAGTACATACCCAGGTTTATGTCAGGAAGGAGCAGGTGCTAAACAGTGCATAATCACTGTATATACTATATATATACTTTACGCTTTAATTACCTGTTTAATGAAATGTATGGAGTTGATTGTTCTTATGTAGTTTGTATGACGCTTTGGCAATATTGTTGTTACACATTTATGCCAATAAAGCTAATCTGAATTGAATTATAAGATCTGAGAAGAAACCTTCAGTGGTTCTAGTCCTTGTAATATAATGATAAAGGCAAATATTTGTTGTCTGCACTTGTGTGCAGAGCTGTAGGTTTAGGACACTGATGTCATGTCCTCTGTATTTCTGGGAGAACTTGTTTTTTAGCAACCTGAGGGGACTTTGCATTTTAAAATTAAAAACGTATAAATAAGAGGATATTCTATAAACTGAATCCAAGATTTTTATGACTCAACATGTTTCAATTTGACCACTTTCAGGCCAACTATAATAATAACACAATTAATTCCTGTGCATTTCTCCTCCAGATACTGTATCTATTCATGGCAGTGAAGAAGGTTTTGAAGCAGCTCTGAGACCTTTGTGATGGGAAAAAGGATTTACACTAAAAAGACTTACTTAAACTTAACTTCAATAAAATATGTGCAATCCCAATAAAAAGTATTTTGTTGTCAGGGGAAACAATGCACTATCAGACATCCCTTGGCAACGACAACAGAATCACTGTATTTGATTTATAACCATGGTGGAATAAGAATTAATAAAACTGATGTTTATAAAGCAGATCGGGAGTATTGATCAAGCAAGAATCCTGTTGAACTCACGACACAGCATGGTGCAACGTTAGCAATTAAACTGAAAAATTCACGGTGAATATCTGAATCGATGTGAAATGTCAAATAACATCCTGTGTACGCCCGTGTTTTTGGACTTTCTGTTGCCTAACATTAGTCACACAGTCAATTAGCCTGAACACAACCTGTCCTTTGGCTGTTTTATGACAGACGTTATCGTCTCAGGAGAGACACGTCTGCTTCAGAGTGACTTTAAAGGAGCAGCCACGTCTACTGTGGCTGCTAATGATGGTAACAAGCGAGCTGTCATCAAAGTCAGTTTGACGTTAGAGTCAGCTGGCCAAACCAACTGCTCCCGCGCGACTCTTCGTTAATGTCCACCCACAGAAAAGCGTTAACGGTAAAGTTTACACATGTTAACACAACAAATTGGTGAAAAGAAAAGGGAATGCTGTAGAGAGTCAGATATAGAGGAACATTAGCCGCTAGCTTCATCTCACCTGTTTCAGTATTGCGGCGGTGCTGCTGTTGTTTGATCAGGATGATGCTCCCTCACGCATGCACGCGAGTCATTTAAGTGTCGCCCGTGCCTGTGCAGGAGCCCGGTAGGTGGAGCGCTTGAAGCGAGTTTGGCGCAGTGCTCGGAGAGATGTCTGGGAGATGTAGTCCTTCTGTTGTGAGACGGGAACAAAATAAAGAAAGGAACAAAATAAAAGAAATATACAATACCGCGCACATAGCTGTATTTCACAAATGTCCACTCTATGACTAGACAATTTGAAGAAGTAAATTAGATGTTTCTCTACATATGTAATATCGGCACTAATTACTTATTGTAGCCTAATTTCCTTCACTGTTAAATTGCTTGATGAAAATCAGAATCAGAAAATGCATTATTGCCAAGTAGTTTTTACACGTACGAGGAATTTGCTTTGGAGATAAGGTGCTACACGTAAACAAACATACAGCTGACATAAACAAATGTAGACATATATAAATATGAAATAGATTGACAAAATATAAAATATAGTTGGGATTGTGCCTGGGTGTACACACCGTTTCAAGGCCAAAAAATAAAATACAACCGAATCAAACATTCCAGAAAAAAAAATCATACCTTTATGAAGTTCATAATAAGCTGTTTGTTGACAGCTTTTGGCAGTGTTGTAGCCTATTGGATTGAATATCATTCCCTTTACTTAAATAGGGGGAATCAATCCCTCTCTGACATAGTTGTAACAAAAATGTATAAATCTAACCAGCACAAATGTAGAATGAATTAATGCAGGGATAAGAAGTGTTTCTGATATAAGATTTAATATTTCATTAAAACCATATTATTATTCATGATGCTTTGTTGTCTATTGACATGAGAGAGGTGGAAAAATGTCTCATGTATACAATTTAATAACACAAAGGCTACAGTCTCCAAAATGACCGTAAAGTTTAAACTAAAACATTGTGTAACCTTCTTTGAAAACTACAGCAGGGCTGCTGTAGAAGTCACACTGGCAGGTTGACTTTGTGCCGAATGTGCTGACACGTTTTTAAATAAATCGTATGACAAGATGTTAAAAGCTTTTTTTAAAGAAAAGCTTTAAAACACATACGTTTTCTCATGCTGCTGTTTATGTATGTAACTATATAAATACATGCTTTAACATCAACATCAGCGCCATTACAAATGTGACGAATCTGCACCAGCTCGTCTTTGACTACATTTACCTAAAGGCGCTGTCATTGAGAAACATGGCTGCCTCCACGGGTGCTGCAAACGCTGCTGCCTCCGACTCACAAGGTCCAGCTTCGGCTAGTCCCAGCATGGACAGCCAAACGTTTCAGTACAGTATGATTCTGGACCATCTCATCGGGGACAAGAGGCCCGTAAAGGACCTGAACCCCGCCGTTATGGGGGCTCTGCCAATGCCTCCTAAAAGCGACGAGCAGAAGATGATCGAGAGGGGAATGGAGAGCTGCGCCTTCAAGTCGGTTCTGGCCTGTGTGGGAGGTAAGCAATGTCACTAACAATATAATAATACAATCACAACTGCTCACTGTCTTTGTGTGTTTGTCTGCACCAGCTTTAGGTGACCGGCAGTTGCCTTTTTATAATGTTTTTTAAAGTAGGATACAGTTCTCTGGTATATGAGCTGCAAGTTCTTACTATACGTAGAAGGGGATTTGAAGAAGAAATTAGGAATGGGATTTTTGTGTGAGGTTTCCAAAAGTAGGGCTAAAATGATTAGTTGACTGACTTTGATATCGATTAAAGGCCAAGCAAAACATTTTCTAGCCCCAGCTAAATATTTATGAGGATTTGCCTCTTGTGTGATTCTTATTTTAAGGGAAGTATTGTTTCCTCCACAGTATGCATCTTTTTATTCCTCTAGTCTGTAAATATTGTTGTGATTCATTGGGTAGACTCTCACGTTGGTGTTTTTGTTCTCCACAGGGTTTGTCCTCGGAGGAGCTTTTGGTGTCTTCACAGCTGGCATCGATACCAATGTTGGCTTCGACCCCAAAGACCCTCTGAGAACTCCAACAGCACGAGAAGTCCTCAAAGACATGGGCCAGAGGGGGATGTCGTACGCCAAGAACTTTGCCATCGTGGGTGCCATGTTCTCCTGTACAGAGTGCATCATAGAATCAGTAGGTCACACCACTTCTCTTCATTCTCTCTTCATTACGTGGGATGACATGCTGATGTTGGATATAACCGCACAGCTTCATAAACAAGGCTGAAACTAATAACGTTAGCGTCATTGTGTGATTATGATTCTACACACCACTTGATTGCGTGACGAGATTAGGCAATAATGTAAACGCTTGTTGTACATGGGTTTAAACTCTAAAGTATCCTAATTAACAACTACACACTGCTACAAGGCTGGGTCATGTTAGGTGTGATGGGGAGTTTTTAAAGTTTTAAAGCATGATTAAAAACACCGCACCCAAAAGACCAAATGTCATTTGTGGTAAAATTAGAGAGGCACTGGTAAATAAACCCACAGCATTTAATAAGTCAACGGGAACAATTTGGACAATTATGACAAATGGCAAACGCATAAACAGAGTCATCTTGGGTTGAAACGACTGTTGATAAATGGAAACTGATATGATTCGCCTTTGCTGCAGTGTTTCTAATTGTGATTACTTACTCGTCTTTCATGAATTGTTCGTGTGATTTTGTTTTGTTTTTTGTGTGTGTTTCCAGACTGACAGACAGCAGTATTACATATGGTTGTATGTTGTAAAACTGCACAGGGACAATCTGACAAGGCTTCATAGCCTTGCTTCAACACATCTCTGATGGCACACGGGCAGAAATAATAAAGCAATAAGTACTGCAGGAAATGCTAATCCTCATAACTATTGTAATACAGTTCCTGTGTTGAATGTTAGAGAGGTTTAGGAAATATCAAGGTAGTTGTGTCCTGCTGTCCTCCACAAAGTGGTGTGATAGCGCCCTCTGGTGCAAAATTGCTTGCTGTTTCATTTTTAAAGTGATGATGTGCATAAGCTATGTCCAATAAGTATGGTAGCTTGCAAAATGTTTTCACATCAGATATAGCAATAAGCTAACTTTTAATTATAATTGGAGACTTTCATTGTTTTCTGGTGTTTGTGCGTAACACAGAACCCATTTTTCATTTGCAGCACAGAGGCAAATCTGACTGGAAGAACGCAGTGTACAGTGGTTGTGTAACTGGAGGAGCCATTGGATTTCGTGGTAAGTAACCATAGTGTATTTACGTTTTAATTTAAAGGTAGTATATTTGTCTGGTCCTCACATGTATTCTTTTTCTGTTTTGTAGCTGGTCTCAAGGCTGGGGTGCTGGGATGTGGAGGCTTTGCTGCGTTTTCTGCTGCCATTGAATATTATTTGCGGTGAACCAAAGAGCAGCTCTATGGACAAGAACTTAATCGATACACATCTGGACGAGCCCTGTTCGAAATCCAACCCTGTGAATATTTACCTGCACATGGAGGATTGCTGCAAAACACAGACCTGATGTGTTTGGTGGAAGTGGCAGGTTTCTGTTTGTGTACAGTACAGTGGGCTGAAAAGACATGTATGTATTTTCCAGTGGCTCGTTTGTTTTATCATATGAACAGTTTGAGCAAAGCAACCTCGTATGAAGAGAATCTGCAGAAACTGAGCGGGGTGGGTCTGCTTCTCTGTTGAAGGTATAATGATGAGATAAAAACGTTGAACACAAATCACTTTCACTCTGAGTCACGACCAACTTATCAGACTCGGATAAAAACTCTTCCTGTTGTTGGTATGATGATGTGTCAGAAACTAATCCACGTCAGGTTTATTTATATTAAAGATGTTTCTTTTTGTTAACTTGTGCATTCAGGACTTTTTTTCTTGATGAAGCTTACAAGTGTCCATAACCACAAAACTGTATTTTGCCTTCTAATAAGTCTTCATTCTAGTTTGAATGTAAATGCATCTCCTTTTATTCTTTAACTTGCATGCATTTCACAGAGTTTACAGAGAAAATATTCTTTGGCGTCTCCATTATGTGGAATTTACAGTACAATTCAGACAAAATCACAGTTTGAAATTATGTTTTAATATTTTTGGTTTTTAAGTGGTAAGTGCTGCTTATTAAGTCATCTGTACCAACAGAGAAGAAAAAAGATACATTTAGTTAGCCTTTATTTTACCAGGGATCTCTTTTACAAGTGAGACCTGGTCAAGAGGGCAGCATAGTTACAAAGACATTACAAGAAGAATAGCACGATTAAAATAAAATACAGTAAAAAACAGACATGACTTAAGGGGTCATACAAAAATACAAACAGAGTGACAGAGATACATACATGCAACCAGCATAACATAATGAATTAAGTAATAAAACAGGTGCATGTAACAGTTAAGATTTCTGAGATCTTTTAAAAGATCTTTTTTTTAATATGCAGCCAAGGAGAGGAGTGTGCTAAGCTTAAGCTTAACCTGGAGCTCATTCAAAGAACAGGGGCCATAATAAAAGAAAGTCCTCTTACCATTTGACAATCACAGAGATGAGGCATCTATTGTGGTAATGTCATAATGTAAGCTCAAAGGGTATGATGTATATAGGGTAATAGTATGTTGCAGGACAGTTGGATGTTTGGTCTTGTTCCTGCCAATAGGAATCCTCCTTTATTCTTTGGTAACTTAAGAAATCTAAATTAAAAATCTGATTGGGTGAGCTAATGTACATCAGCATCAACAAAAATGTTCTGAAAACAGGCCTGCATGTTTGAATATATAAATTAATAATATTAATGTGCAGTCATTTTCAAACATGTCATCAAATGTTTCCCACACCAGCAAGAAAATGCGTCCAATGTTCTGTGAATGAGTGACAAACCATCAGTTGGCAGTAGATCAATAACTTCCCTGGCTGATTGTTGAAACAGTCCCTTACAAATATTATGACAGTGGCAACTGATTCAGGATTTAAGAAACATTATTTTAACATCACTGAGGGGAGAGGATCAGCGTCATATGTGATTATTTTATAGAAATCACTGCCAAACTAGTCAAACAATGAGTGTGTAGGCAGAAAGAATATTAAATAATAATAAATCTGTGTGGGTAATAAGGACACATTTAATCAGTTTTAAGGTTTTTTTTGTATGAAGATTAAATATGATAGCATAATAACATAATATACAGTACATTTACCAAAGCTTTTAAAATCACACAGTTAAAAATGACTTTCAGATGAAATATAAACTAAATTGCAAATTTCACAATATTTATTTCACAAGTATTTAAGATGTCATCCATTATTAGACTTCTGAATTATGTATATAAAAGATTATGCAATTGTTTGTAATATCAACAAATATTTAAAGTCTTATATTTATTGCATTGCTCTATTCAGATAAACAGTGTATACTCTACATACAGTATACACAACAAACTGTGTTAAATGCGACAAACTGAATGCTCTGAGAATAATTATTTTCTCACTCAGCCTGAACTGTCTGTCTCTTTTTTGACGGTCTTGATATGTAAGCACAGAAGGTGATGACAACTTCCTGTGTGTGTGAGGAGCTTCCAAAACCCACCAGCACAGAAGACGCAGAACCCTCTGTGCTTGTTGGGTCAGAGCGCTCCTCATCCTCTTGACTGGTGGGTGAAGATGGTGACATGAGGGGTTGGAGGTCGGAGTGGAGGGGCAGGGGGTGCCGTAATTGTACTCACTGGGTTCTCAAGACAGTGCTTGGTGCCTGGAGGCCTGTAGTGTTCTGCTTTGGTGCTGGGTCTTCCTTGGATGAATGGTTGGTTGATGTCCACTCTCAGGTGTTCCAGGAACGCCAAAAATGCAAGAGTCCTGCCCTATGAAATAGAAACCAAGTGCAAAGTTAGAAATCAGGATGGTCTCGGTTGAGTCATCATTCCTTTTCCATGACATATGAGTGTGTGACTTAAGTGAGCAAGACAGAAGAAGAGACAATATATTAGATTTTTTCCCCCTGTTCATTCTGAAGCTGTGTAGCTGTGATCTTCCACTGCAGTCTGTAGACATGATCAGATCAGATCAATCAGAAATGACACAGAAGCTGATGCGTCCATAATGACCACACACAGCACGGTCACTGTTGTTCTCCCTGTAATGAATTACACAGCATTTTCGGTGTTTTGGTATGCTTTCTTTTGGTGCACGCTTGTTTTCTTTTGTTCACCAACCAGAATGGACCAAGCAGAAAAACAAGAGTGACCGCTTCATCAGTGCTGCAAGTTGTGTTTTACAAGTGTGTCTAAGTAGTACAGAGTTGTGTAAACCATAATCTCTGGAGTTACTGGATTTGTTGGTGAGCTCACTGGATCCGTATTAAATCCCACACCATAAAAAATAAAACTTTTGTTGTATTTTTCCAAAAAACAGACACTATGAGGCACATTACCCGCAGCAGCTGACTGATTGTGAGTAGCTGTGCACTAACTAACTTCTCACAGACTTTAGAACTGGTTTAGTATTTGTGAAATACAGTCATGCTGACATTATGAATTGATGCTTGATTGACACCATCTCCACATTTAAGAGTAGGCTTAAGACTTTCCTCTTTGATGAAGCTTATAGTTAGGGCTGGCTCAGGTGAGTCCTGAACCATCCCTTAGTTATGCTGCTATAGGCCTAGACTGCCGGGGGGATTTCCCATGATACACTGAGCTCCTCTCTCCTCTACTTTCTCTCCCTCTGTATGCAACCTCATCCCATTATTGCATGTTACTAACACAACTTCTCCCCTTTCTGGTAGTCTTGTGCTTTCTCGTCTCTCTCCTCTCTCCTATCACTTCCTGCAGGTTTTCTGGCTCTGGAGCTGTGGAGTCTGGATCTGTGGTTGCGGGTCACCTGCTGCCCCTGTGTTCCTGCTCGACACCCTCTGCTGCAACGACTATTGTTGCTAGTCTTATTGTTATTATTGTTATTATAATCATTAACATTACAATTGTTACCATTAACACTATTATAAATATCTGTACCATTTTTCATTTAGTCTATAGCAACATCACCTTCACTGTCTGTACCTCTGTGTGTGTATTGTGTAGGCTGCCTCCCTCCTCTCTCTCTCTCCTTACATCTCTCTCTCTCTCCCCCCCCCCCCTCTCTCTCTCCCTCCCCCAACCGGTCGAGGTAGATGGCCGCCCACCCTGAGCCATGGTTCTGCTCGAGGTTTCTGCCTCTTAAAAGGAAGTTTTTCCTTGCCTCTGTCGCCTAGTGCTTGCTCTTGGTGGGAACTGTTGGGCTTCTGTAAATAGCAGAGTACGGTCTAGACCTGCTCTTTTATGAAAAGCGCTGTGAGATAACTGTTGTTGTGATTTGGCACTATATAAATAAAATTGAATTGAAATTGAAATGCTATATATCTTCTACCAGTAATTCTCAAAGTTGGGTCCGAGGACCCCCAAGGGCCTTTGAGAGTGTTCCAGGGCATCCCCAGAAAAAATGTAAATAATTTAATTTTCACTATAATTCATCCATGATCTATGTCCACTCTGAACGAAAGGTCCAGAGACTCTTATTTCTTCCCTCAACGGGCAAAGGAGACAGCAAAAGAGATCTCAGCAGGTCCCAAAGGATAGAGCTATAGGCTGACTTTGTCTATGGAGTGAGTTGTGCACACATTGCGTAGGGTTCAGAATGCTTCAAGAAAGAGCCACCAGCGTGCAGGTATGCCCCTCTTGTTGTACTTCATATAGGCTTCGCCCTCTACGGCTAGGTTATGCCTTCCAGGATGGGCATTGCCACATCCCGATTGGCCCAGAGGGAATCACCCAGCTGCACTCAACAGCTGCTCTGATTGATCCCTAAAACAGAGAACCAATTGGTCAACCTAAAAATGAACCCTTTCCATAAAAAGAATAGCGGCACATTTATTTATGTGAATCAGCTCAACTGGCCATTTCATTGTCACCAGAACACAGCTCAGTTAAAAGGAAACATAGCATGTCATGAACTTTTTCATGTTGTACAGGTAATGATGGTACTGAGATAGACCTTGTAGCCATTATCAGCTTACCATCATACATTTCCAAAATATGGGAAGTGTGTATCCTCTACTAGTCACTCTTAACTGGGACACAAGACCTCTGGAGCCCCCCTCAATAATCTGGGAGCCTTAGCACTATGACACATTTATGCGTCACTTATTAATTGTAAAAACAGCAGCAAAAGTGTGTCACTTAGAATTTTGACATGCTTAATACCAAAATCTTACTCTGAGTGGCCCATATTTCTGTGGGTTAATTACCAGTTGAGCCTACAGGGCACAGGTCTGGGGGCCTAAAGGGCCAGTCGGCAAAAGTCCTCTTGAAAAACAGCATACGTGTCCATCTTGTTATCTATCCAAGCAGATAACACACAAATCTAAGAGACGAAGAAAACCCTTTCTTATATGTCTCTGTACAACCGTGTCATGAAGTTTCCTAAAAGATGTTCAGTCATGCCACAGGACTAACTCAGAGCTAAAGTTTGGAGCACTGATGAATTGTTTGCAGGACTAAAATTAGTTGTTGGGGTGGTATAAGCTACACATCTGTATATACAGACTATCTTAAATATTTAAACATGTCAAGGGGATAACAACAGATTTACAGCCTTAAGAGTTTAACTTTAACTTGGAGGTCTCCTTTAACAATTTGTAAAATTGACCACCAGGTGGTGTAATGTGCAAAGGTCTTAAACTTTATCCAAATATGGTTTAATCCTTAAAGATTGAAAAAACTTGTCTAACTGTTTGAGGATGTAGTGACTGGTTTAGGTGCATGACAGAAAAAAATATAAGAAGGAAGCCACAATTCTGCTGAAAATGATATAAAGTCAATGCACATTTCCTTGTCTG